ACACACACATATACATACTTACATATACACACACTTCTTTGTTGTTTAGGGTTCGTGTGCGTGCTTGTGTTTAGTCTCTTTCTCTCTCTTTATATATATATACATACACACACACACACACATATATATATATATATATATATATATATATATATATATATATATATATATATATATATAATAAATTTAATAAATCCGTTGGTATATAATCCAAGTGGATCCTACTAATATAAAATATTAAAACTGCTTATTATTACAGGGCAAAAATTAATACACAATAAAACACAATATTACCTCATATGGAGAATAAGCTTAGTTAGACCGAGAAAAATATTCTTAGGAGGTGATTTTATTGTGTAATAATAATAATAATAATAATATATATATATATATATATATATAATTAAACCTAGAGAGCCAGACAAACCTATTAAGCGGATCGACACTTTATTTAGTTATTTTGCCTACTCGTATCGGGTTTTTTCGTTGGGGTTTGGACTTGCATACTAGACGATTATTTTCGGCTAACGTAAATGTTCTTGCTTCTTTTTTTATACCTTTTTTCCCCTTTGGTATTGGTTTGATTATTTGCAAATAAAACACTGACGATTTTCCGAACGGGTATAATATCTTATACTTATAAGATTACTTCTACTAATATATATATATATATATATATATATATATATATATATATATATATATATATATATATATAGAATGTCCTATAAATTTCCATACATCGGAAAATTGAACCTTTTTAATATGAAAATGGATTTTTATTTATATATGCTCTATATGTCTAGAATTCTGTTGAAAACCTTCTTCAGTGCGTGTCTTGCACGGCTGAAGAACAAGTCCAAGCACATCTGAACTTATGCTTGTAATGCCGATCGTGATATATTGCTTGAGTTGAATTATGTTTTGTATCTTTTTTTTTTTCCTGACACACCATGACCTTCAAATGCCCTCAAAGGTAAATATCAAGTGTGGTAAGGTCTGGAGATCCAGTCCAAAGGAACACACCGACCAATTCAAGCACCTATATATACATATATATATATATATATATATATATAGAAAAAATATACTGAAAAAGGAAACAAAAATCTAATATGTGACTATGCTGTTTTAATGTTTAAAACTGCATAATCACATAAAAGGATTTTGTTTGTTTTTTCAGTATATTTTCTTCATACTGTCGGATCTATATCCATATATTTGCTTACACACACACACACACACATATATATATATATATATATATATATATATATATATATATATATATAGCGAGAGAGAGAGAGAGACAGACAGACAGACAGACACACTGAACAAGGACAAAAGGCCATATAAACATATGTCCCCAAATTCCTCCTTTTCGAGTTATTAAGTTTAAAGTTTATTGTAGATGCTGTTAAATGTGGAATCCAATATAGCATCCAAAAATAGTTTTACATTCTTGGAATATCTTGCCATTGTTAAATGGAACAATTCTCAATTAATTCACTACTAACCTAGTCTTATGGCAATATATACCCATCTATCGTAAACTTTCTTTAAACTTAATAACACACAAAAAAAGAAGGATTTTTGGATATATGTTTATGTGGTGTTTTGTCCTTGTTTTAGTGTGAGAAACTCGCCCCCAATATTTGTAAAATATGTTTTTATCCGTGACCTAGTGTTTCGCAAAAACCAACATCAATTTGTGCTCTTTGGGATATTGTATCTCTGACAAAATGTAAATATATATGTTGGCTTTACAACAACGACCTTATCGAAGAGAATTACTTTACATATGTCGGATTGTGGTTCGATGAAACAACATTTGAAGCATTCCTGTCCACATTCACGGTTTAGAGAAATATTAATCAACAATACAAGTA